GACTGAATGGCTGATAATATTATAGGCTGTGGACAAGCTTTGTAGTGAGGTACTAGAGATCTTCCTTAAGAGATATTGCAGACCACACTTGGCTCATGCTCTTTTTGCCCTATACCCCACTAGGAAGCCCCTTGCTAATGATTGACTGACTGACCGACCGATTGACTGCCCAACTGAGTGAATGAGTGGGTGACTGACTGACTGACTGACCGTCTGACTGCCGACCCAACTGAGTGACTAAATGACTGACAATTTGCACGTACATATGTACATGTACATATACAATAGGCAATTGTAGTCTGTGGTTACTTTCTGTCAATTATGTATCAGTGTCAGTTGGCTACCTTTTAAGTCGAGCCAGCAGTAAGGACTTAAAACAAACATCATGAGAGTACAATACCTAACTGGATATTTCTCATCCATATGGTGGCCTTGGATCCTTTTAAAATCTTCTCAAAGTAGACACCAGCAAACCCACTAGAACAACAAGCTGTGAGAACAGCTACAAGACCAATAAACTGTTCTGATGCAGAACGTTCTTTTGATGCAGTCTCTTTGACAGCATCTGGATGCCACTGGCCACAGCAAAACAAACAAACAAACAAACAAACAAATGAATCAAATGTAGTTATATATAGAGTGGTTTTTACTTGAGTGCTATTGAAAGTTATTGGTTTTGCATTACTGCGCTACACAATTGGCTTAAAAATCTTGAGCCACTTTTTCATCTAATCAGAAGTAAAACTACAGTTTTGCCCACACTTGGTGTCCACTACATGTACATGTATTACATGTAACTTTGCGTTTTGATTGTCCGACCTCGTGTGTCCTTTGTCTTTATATTATTTATTATAATATAGATAGGACCCTGCGTGTGCTCTGATTGGTCAAAAACCCATGTTTTATCAGAGTATAAAACATAGAAAAAGCGTGCTTAAGTGTTCTTTGCCCCATTACCTCTATATCATAAAGCAAATGAAGAGGCCTAAGCTGTGTGTTACAAAAGTTTACAAAACTTGATTTGAAGAGTCATATAACTATATTGAATTGTTAGAAAGTCTCACCTGAACTAGAGTCACCCCAAACATAAGAAGGAGCAGAGAAACCCACTTCAGCATGCCTAACTTTTTATGTAGCATACAAACTGAGAATAATGCTGTTGTTAAAATCTTGAGTTGATAAGTAACCTGAAATCATAACCATGACAATTACCACCAAATCACTGGTTCTGCTTCAGTCTCATACTGATCCCGAAATAGCCAATAAAACCCAGTCAAACTGAATTTCAATCAAACTCAATTGAACTCAACCACGGATTGAGTTTGATTAAGTTCAACTGAGTTCGATTTATGAACTTTTCATTGACTATACCGGGACTGATGCACTATTTAATTAAGGAGAACATTTAAAATGCATTATTTGCAAGTTCTATACCTTTATACATCTACATGTACCAGTAGCTGTCACCTCTCAAACACGAATTGAGAGAGAGCAACGCTTACCAGTATTTGGGACAAAATAGACTTTTCTCAGATAGGCAATTAAAGGAGCTACATCACGGTTTGCGAATCTTGAAAAGTTTAGCCTAAATTTTTACAGTTTGCTGTTTGTAATCTGTGTCAATCTTTTCCATCCTTAACTATCCTTGTTTATATATGGCTTATTGTTATCTCTATAGTGTTTTCCAATCCAACATGTAGTAAACTATTGTTTTCAGGTTTCCTTTAAACAAAAGGTAATTTTGTACTCGCCAAAAACAACTCAGAACACCTTGACTGAGCTCCTTTAACAGTTGTAGGAAGTCTGTTCTCTGGTGCTCTTAAGAATGAATATTAATATTTTTGTTAGAAGTGGGTCACTCCGGCTTGGGAACCAAGGGAAGTTGACAAGAATTTACACACTCAGTCATCTGAAACTTGCACTTGCTCAGTTTACCTACATAAATCTCGACCTCAAGCTTGTTCAAAAACCAATATTCACTGACCTGATACGTGGCAGCATCCAAATTTGAAAGCGCGACATACAGAAGGTTATTTTGAACAGTGTACAATCCAGAAGGTACTGCTAGCTTTAATGTCTCCCAAGGTTTATCGAAAATCTCTTCCCGTAAACTTCTCACAAAGACAGACCATCTGTACTGAGATGTATGAAAAGTTATCAACACACATGCCAGGATCTTGAAAATTTCCGCGAAGACTACTGCAGTAGAGGCGATGTACATTGGGTCTCCCTCTTTATGGGTAGTTCTTGAGTAACGCATCGTGAGGACAAGCGACGATGTTTGTAACACCAGAACGAAGAGGCAAACGTGTTTGAGGGAAAGCGAGAACCTTGGAAATACTGTAATAAAGAAAACATGTTAAACTGTTGTTAGGACGAACAATCGATAGCAAGGTATTGACATTAATATTGAAACAATTTTCAAAACCGGCAAATGACGCACTTTCCGGACAACATATTTCACATGCAAAATAACAGATCAGATTGACCAATAACCAGAAAACTAACAAACAGGGTTCTACGAGTAAGAGTAAAGACACAAAATTAACTACATTATTTGTCCGTTTTAAGCAATTCCAAAGAATAAAGGTTAGATAAAGTGTGTACCTCGAAATAAAGCCTTGTCCGCCATGTTGAGGACAATGTGATGATAGTGGTAGCCGCTGGCCAGGAAAGTCGGATGATCTCGCGTGGCTTGTTACCTTGGCAACCAAAGTAGCTGAGAAAAATGTCGAAGACGAGTTACCAGGTTAGTCACCAATTTTCACGCTTACTTATTTTTACATGAACGTTACTGGACACTCTTTAAACAAAAAGTTGAAATAAAGAAGAAGAAAGAAATCTTAGTATGCAGACCCGGGATCCGGAGTCGAACCTGAGAAATGTGAGTCAGGATATGTTCGCTTACCAACCACATCCTCAGAGCACTAGCTGGAAAAACTCGAATTTCTTAACTATACATTCAAACCTTAGAAATATGTGCAATACAGCGTCACCCAAACCACAAAATGGAAGTTAACCGCAAGCAAACGCGAGTGGAACTAGCAGCAAGAAAACTGGGGTGGAACCAACCGCAAGAAAACCTGAGAGGAGCTAACCACTAGCAAACCAGAGACGTGTTAGCCAACCAGTCATTCCTTGATTTCCGTAAACATGCGTGCGTTCCTTGTCACGACCAGTGTCACACTATAGACCACTATATCTGTCATACAAGACACCATTTCTTCCATTTAGTTGATTTGCTCGCCTAAGTCCTGATTACAAGCAGAAAGGTAAACTTAGTAGCCTAACGGAAGGGTCAAAGAGTGATAGCCCTGGTTTACGAACAAATTTCACATGGTTACCCTACCAGTCCACTGACCTGTGGGCTTAACGTACACAAAATGGCTGACAATGAAGATACTTGCTAGGGACCTTCATTTACCCGTCTTTGCTGTTTCCAGTGTCATGAAATGCTGACATGTTACCTTCTTATTGCTGGACAATGACAAAAAGTTCCAAATGAATGTTTTTCTCGGGAAGGCGGGTTGTCCCTAGCAGAACGTTTACATGGCAGCTTGCTTTAATAGCCTGACGCTAGGGTAATGCCTGCCTGTCGAAACCGCTCATCCCCCCGGGCATTTGACATTTTGTTTTCATCAGGTTGGAAATGCCCCACCATAGAGGAGCTGGTGCATAAAAAGTTCCCCCTGGCGAGGCCGTGAGATAAGTGCAAATGCCCCACCCAGTACATGTAGCTACATGTACCCATAAGATAGCCGAAAAATGTATTTTCTCTTAAGTGATGTAAAGTGAGAAAAAACGTATTCTATTTTGCAAATAGCTTGTTATAGTTTAATTATGACTGTTATTTACATACTCACTTTTTTTTTTTGCGAAATTGAAATTGATTCAAACACGGTCAAAAGTAATGAACGCTGGTCTTCGCGAGGACATGGGACAAATTCGCAAGGACCGGATGTCATAAAGAAAGCTCATTGAAAAAAGGATTATCCCAGTTTGTTTCATATATATACTAATTATGCAACGCTTTTGAGTGGGTTACTATGGAAGGTCACACGAGTCACAGTTGCGTTTTCTCGATATACACACGAGCCTTTATATTTTCCATACCATGGGAAAACACAGTGACTAACACCATCAATGCAACATACGCCCGGCGCATGATGGGAAGGTTAGATGGAATACCGTCGAATATACAACGGCTTTCCTGTATTCTGATTGGCTGTATTTTCTATGGTATGATATAAAAGCAAATAAAAATATCAGTAACTTACTTTCTAGGGTTTCTATAAAGCCCTCCGAGTTCTTTTGTCTTAACCAACGAGCCACAATTTTATACCGCTTTTCCCACGAATCATATCAATCATATCGTCCGCCATCGATATCAATCATATTGTCCGCCATCGCTTCTCGCACGCGGAAGACCAACATGAAATCATGGAGGTGGTGTTGGGGGCGTAGGGCACGAGTTAGTTACTAATGGTTTAAATCTCAAAAAAAAATAATTTTACATCTACGTTCTTTCATAGCAATGGGCTCCTGCTTATCATTAATCCCGTTTTGAGGCAAAATAAAGCAAGTTTGCGCCTATTTTTCTTTTTTTGTAAAGAACAGATGTATGATTAATGTTATTTTTGTGACTAAATCGTAAATTGAAATGTCCCATCCCGGGCAGCCCTTTGCGAGCAAATACCCCGTGGTATGGTGTCAAATGCCTGTCAATGCCCAGCGGGGTTTTGAGCCGAGGCTCCGGTGCGGTGCTCACTGCTCAGCGCCTACTAATTTTGTGTTTTGCTTTTTAGAAGGCTTTCTTTTTTCAAACGATTTATGACGGTGGCTTTTTTCCTTTCCTTTTTTTTGTGGCTGGTGGAAGTGCAAAGCGCATGACAGCGAGAAGTTTGAATTTTTTGCCCGCGGTTACGACGCGATATCAAGGGCCCTGGGTGCAAGAATGTATTTTCGACCCAGGTTCTTTTCGGTCATCTATGTTCGCGTTTTGACGGGGGGACTGACGAGGGTAGAGTAAACATTTTCGTGCTGTCGTGCATGTTACTGCTGTGCTGGAATCAAACGGAAAATGCATCCAGCGATTGCAATTTTGCTGGTTTTCACAGGCTGTTGTTCCAATGTGATTTTTCTGGAGTTACTTGTGAGGTAAGACTCAAGTTAACTTATCATACACTCGCGTTTTTGTGACCTAGTAATGCTTTATGCACGCTCGTTGACCTTTTAGCCGGCTCGGGCACGTGAAGGGTTGCTAAGTATGTGGACGTTACAAGTTTGGGAAATATTTCATCACTAGCACCGAAAATGTTCCTGTAAAATTAAGCTTAAATTAAGTCAATAATTCCCTTTCTTACAGTGGTTCTGCATTTCTGAATTTCCTCAAAATCTTTCCCTACAACCTTCACTGTGTCAGTCAGCAAATTTATAAACTTACTCGATCAGCTAATTATCATGGTTTCATTATAGTTGTTGGCCGGGAACTAACCGTAAACAGGCTAAGCATAGCGGTTTTCAGACTTACTGCAGTGGCGTGCTGTGCAAGCTAACCGTACACGGTTATTTATTTATACTCTCCGTTAAAATAAGCTTCGCGTAGTAAATTATTACGTAATTGTTGTTACAGCTGAAATAAGGCTTGTTGTTGTTGTTGTTATAAATTGAAATCACTACTTTAAACAAACTTACAACTGCTGATGATTGTTAAGTGATCAAAACATTTCTTAATACAAACTGATTTTTAAAAATAATTTGTATATTAAAAGTATTTTTAAAACACTATCTGGCTGATAACAATCTTCTGGAGACACTCCGAGACACCTTTGAAGGGTAGTGTTCATCATAATTGCATGGCCAACTCTATGAGTGGGCAAAATGAACTGAATCCTGTGCTGCTATTGGTTACCTGAGCGTTCAAGATGGAGCTATCTTGCCTGCTCGGGATTTCCCGCTGTGTCCCACAAGAATATAGTGTTCTCTTTCCATATAATAAATCCTAATATGTCCAAGCTTGTTTGGTCAAGATGGCTGTATGTTGGCCTCTTTCTCTTTTTATGTGTTATGGATCTTGACTCTGTGTCAGTCCATAAACAAACAAAGAAAAAGACCTGGTCATTATATCCAGCCATCTTGTCCTCATGCTTGGTCATTATAACCCATTTGTCTGACTACAAAAGTCAATATCCTTGGGCCATGTGATGGTACTTTGCTGTGTAGTCAGACCCAATACCCACTCTCCCTGACTGTTATTCAATGACATGGATATCTCCTGGAAAATGACGAACAAACAAATTCATGTCATGAGACTCTATATTATTGCTTTCAGAGAAGTTCCTAGTTGTGTCAATACCGTCACATTTTGCCAGTTCCTGTTTATTGCTGTGGAAGGATTCATATTTACTGCTAATTTTGGCTTCAAAAAACCTGTTATTCCTATCAGGTACACTTATATTTACTTATTTAATTGCGTGGAGAGGGGGAAAGCAGGGGAGGGGGCGGGGTGGAAGGAAGGAGAAGGAGGAAGGAAATGGGAGTCAAAGACCCTTGCTGGTCTTACCTCTATCAGACTAGTTACACTCCAGGGTGGAGATTGAGTGTAATAGGTGATATCTCCCGGTGAAGGCAATGAAATTGGTGTTAAATCTGTTTCCTAAAGGAGGAGGAGGAGAGCACAAAGTTTACAACTTCAGAATCAGTGCTTTCAGTAAGACCTGTCACCTGTTCCGGGAGGTTTCCTGTTGTGAATTACCTGTTACAACATTTGTAGTTTTCAAAACTTGCCCCTCAAGAGAAGAAGTTGTTATAAGCCTCTTTTTTTGCTTCCTGATGTGTGCCACACTACTGGCAGCTGCCTTCTTCAAATTTTAGTGAAAGCACTGCTAAAAGAGTCAAAAGTCACTACAGTAATTAATTGTCTTTTCTTTCAGTAACTATGTGGCAATGGTGGTATTTTTCTTCTCGACCAATGTAATAAACAATGCTGCACTGAACTTCAATGTCCCTATGCCCCTGCACATGATCTTCAGATCAGTAAGTTGTTTTTTGGACAAACAATTAATTTATAAGAGGAGATAAGCTGTGTGCATGCTCAAATGAAGACAAATTTCCTATGATATTCATTGTCAAGTTACATGTAAAATCTAGTGAAGTCCGTCACCTGATTAGCCAATCTAGATATAAATTATAAATTACATGTAACTTGTTTATCAAAGCTACACATACACTGTATGCACTTGGTATACTGCAATGTGTTACATAGTTGTTTTGCGTGTTGTCTTGCAGGGGTCATTGGTGGCCAATCTTGTTTTAGGAATGATTATTTTAAAGAGAAGGTACTGTACCTACATGTATAATGTTATGTGTAAAAAGTATAAAATAGTACATTTTAATTATGTACATGACTTGTGTAGTTCATTTAGATCTGTTTTACTTAGTGTAAGAGCTTTCAGAATTTTTGTAGGAACTGACCAGTATAAACTAAAAACCCATGATTTTTTTTCAGATATCAGCTGTCAAAGTATTTATCTGTCCTTATGATCACTGCAGGGATATGCTTGTGTACTTTAGCATCAGCACAAAAGTTGGTAAGATACATAATAAAAAAAACATATTTAAAATTCCAAAGGGTCTTGATAGTTGCAGACGGAAGTTTCTGTTGAAACTTGTTTTGTAAACTCAAATGTTTTGTCATTTTCTTAAAAATTAATATTAAAAATTGAATCAAGTCTCTATATCATGTGGTGCTGTCAGGTTCTGTCTTCTGAAATGTTTCCTTATGTCACAGTGTACATTCTCTCTTTTAGGAGTTTAAATTTTCCTCTGGAGACCCTTATAAAGACTACTTGTGGTGGTGTGTAGGTGAGGACCTTGGAATAGTATTTTAATGCTTAATTCTGTGTTCTGTAGCATGTAGTGGCTTAGTATTGCCACTCCCCCCTGGATGGGATGCTAGTCCATTGCAAGGTTACCCCCAGTGTTTTGTCACATTGCTCCAACTATTTGCCAGTAGCCATTCATACTCCTGGGTGGAAAGAGACACTGTGAGAGTATAGTGTCTTTCCCAAGAACACAACACATGTCAGAGACCCTGACAGGGGCTTGAACATGGACCATTTTATCCAGAGTCCAGTGTACTGACCATTACCCTACCGTGCCTCGTACTGAGAGGTACAAGGCGCAGTGGAATTAGTGCATTAGAGTCTGTGTTTTGTTGATTAATTTGTATTGTGCATTTTTTTATTGTGCATTTTTTGTCTTTGTGAAGGCATTGGACTGCTTGTGATTGCATTATTTCTTTCTGCTAGGACTGGTATCTACCAGGTCAGTGACTGTGTGTGTTTTAAACTGCTTTTGTAACATTCATATGTAATTGTCACACAATTAAAAGCAAAAAACTATATATTTTCCAGCATTAATATTACACATACATGTACATCATTAAATATTTTTCTGTTTCTTGTGCTCAACAAACATGCAATTTTAACATAATAATATTATGATGTAATAATAATTGTTGTGATCTTTACAAGTATGCAATGCAATTTTGGAAGACAGTCAGCAGAAGGTATAAGCTTTTACACTACTTTACATACGTGTGCTTAGAGGATTTAATGCATTGTTTTGCGGCTGTGGTAAAGGCTTGTAATTTAGTTAACAAGATGTTTTATATCATTCACTTTTTTTGCAAAAAGTCTTGCAAATTTTGAGTTTTCAAAAGGCAGAACTGCATTGGATTTTTGCGTTTGAAAGATGTGAAACTTAATAAATGTTTTGACTCAACATGCTCAGCTGATTGGACTGTTCATTTACACTTCAGGAGCAGATGTATGCAGAGCATGGAAAACACCCCAGAGAGGCTCTCTTTTATGCGGTAATCATGTTATCTTGATACGTTGCTAGTCGTAAACCATCCACTCCTGGGATTGGCAATGCCAAGCAGGTCGACTTGTTCCTAGTTTATTAGGTGATTTGATATGAGGAGGGTGCTCTAACCATGATCCATCTCGGTTATTATTGCCTGTTTCATCGATCAACGGGCTAACTTCTTTTAACCAAAGAATGTCGATCCTTTGTAACTTTCCACATAATAAGTATTACTGTATCAAGAAAGGCTACCTTTAATTTTGTCTTTTTGTCTTTTTGTTATCCATGTTTAGCATGCTTTGCCATTAGCTGGGTTTCTTCTGCTTTCCAAAGACATTTATCGTCACATTTTCATATTTAACTCATCTGGTAAGTGCTTTTGTTGTCATGTTAAACGAATCTCACGTCGTACATACTGTATACACATTTCTAAATTGGTTTCTCTAGTTACACCAATTCAATCTATATTGTTTTGTTTTTTTTGGTAAGCCAATCTGAGCTGCCAGCTCCATTTACATCTAGCGTAATGCATGCGTGTTGGGGTGGAGGGGTCATTTTGAATTAATCTGCCCAAGGTAACCTCGAGGCAGATGCCCAGGTCTGTTTAGTAAAGGCCTCTCCTGAAACAGACGAAAGTCCTTTCAACAAAACTGTGGCAATAAGCGTGTTACCGCTCAATTAAGACCCGTGCCAGTGTAGGCTCAATGTGTACACCTCACGTGACCTCATAATGTACATTTTATTTTCACACGAAAAATTTATACAGTATCCCAACTATGCGGGAGACAGTTTTCCTTAACGGTCACCAATTCAGGTCGAAAGACCCCTACAAGAGCTCTCACTTACATACAGAAACGACATATCACAGCAACTTTTGGACAATTATTTTTTACAGCTCCTTTGGTGTTGTTTGATTTCAACTTCCAAATTCCTAAGCTTTGGGCGTATCTTGCTGGTAACATCGTCACGCAATACATCTGCATCCGCAGCGTGTACGTCCTGACGTCAGAGTGCGCCTCTTTGACTGTCACGCTTGTGGTCACGCTGCGCAAGTTCATGAGCCTGATGTTTTCGATCTTTTACTTCCAAAATCCGTTCACGCTGTACCACTGGTGTGGAACGGGGCTGGTCTTTGGCGGCACGCTGATCTTTGTTGAGCTGGCGAGCAAGATTCGTGAAGCTTTCCGGCCCAAGAAGGAAACAAAAACAGAGTGATGCTCGACGCTTCTACGCTGGGCGCCCATCAAGACGGCGAAGACACGGCAAAGTAGTGAAGAAGCATGATAAAGCATGTTATGCTCTTGAATCTAAACTTGTATATACTCTCATTGTGCTTTTTGTGTTGAAGTTTGATTCTGGTTGTCATTTATGGTGATACTCCAGGACCTGCGACAGGTGAAGACAAATTGTCTGAAATTGATCGTCTTTACTCGCTAAAATGTAGCGGTTAAGCGAGTCAAAACAGACGTTAGTTTTCGCGCACAATTCAATCCCCACTAAAGCGACCTATGAGATTTGTTCCCATATTTTCCACATTGAAAAACAGAAGAGAAGTTTTATTTTGTTCTAGTCTTAAATTGAAAAGATGTTTATAAGTCTGGTGATATTCTCTCTACATACAACATATGATTATATAATATAATTTTGAATGCAAAAATCGGATACTGATATTAACAAAGGTATTGCAAAGGTTTAAAAATTTTGTCAGCCTCCTCCATTCGTTCCTTTTTTTATTCGTTTCGGAGTTATAACGTTACCAGTTGAAAATAGTTATTATAATAAAATACAACTTATGATTATATAATATCGTTATATAGCTGGCCTTTTTGCCGCTACAGCGCGTCCGATTATTGGCTAGTTCATGGTCACATGACATCTAACAATGAAACTGTTTACCGCCAAATGCCATGAGCGGGCAACGTTGCGAAAACTGTGACGTCAAACGCAAACAGTTCACTATTACCCGCGAAGTGTTGATCGCTGTTGCACGTGATCAGAGCGTGCAGTTGAAGGTGGCCTGATGTTGTTGGGTTGTTGTCGCTGTCACTCCGTCTCGGGAAACATTGAGATTCTCGGGAAACAAAATTCACTGTTCCCCTCGGGACTAGTCATCAAGTGTTAAATAATACGATTCATGAATGCAAAAATTTGATGCTGATTCTAACAAGGATATTGAAACGGTTATAATATTACATCCATTCGTTGTTTTTCTTTACTCATTTCGGAGTGATAACGTTGCTGTTAGACTTCTATAAAAATTTGTTTTACCCACACAGCGTTATATCCACGTCTTTTAATTCATATGCATTTAAAAAACATTTTTTTAGCATAATTTATACTATTATTATATGAACTTCAGATAGACAATACTAGTGAAAGAGACCTATGTTGTTGTAAAGCAAACTTAAATTGACACAAAGAAAAATGGCAACGGGTTTGAAGGAACCACATCACAGTGTGCACATCTTGAAAAGTTTAGCCTAAATGTTTCAAGTTCGTCTTGTGTAATCCGTGTCAATCTTCTCCATCCTTAAACATTCTGGCTCCTTCATGGTTTATTATTGTCTTTTGGTGTTTTTCTATCTTGGTAAACTACTATTTCGAGGTTTACTTCAATTGAGAGGGTTAATTTGTACGTGGCAAGAATAACTAGAAATACCGTGACTGAGCTCCCTTAACGGTATTTGGGCCCACGACTTTGACAATCGTGAGCCAAGATTCGATCGTGTGGGTCTGAGTTCCAATCCACTTGGTTTGTACGTTTTGAGCCTTTATGTAGACTTTGATAGTGATGGCAGCATCGAAGCAGACCGATACTGAAAACCAGCGTCTGTGTCGATTACCAGAAGATAAACGTGTACAACTTTAAGTAGAACCTGCACCTTTGCAGGGTCCTAGTAAGTTAAATTGCTAATTAGAACAACGCAACGACCTCGGCCAGGGTTTGAACCCAGAATAGTCGACCCGGAGACCAGCGTGCTACACGGATTGAGTTGCTTCACAACTTTCAAGGTCACTTTGACTGGTAAATTACTACACAAACGCGCGCATTGATTCACTAAGGCGAGCTAGTTGGTCAGATTTTCACCAAACTCGCTCGTGTGGATGAATCAGGATACTTACAGATGTTCAAAACTTATATTTTCCTAGAAAGAAACTAAGAACACTATTATTAGAAGGTCGCTATTTCTATAATATGTTGAACATACATGTACATTACCAACCATTTGAGACATCCTTACGATGTTTCTATAGTTAATACAGACTTCCGTGTAAGGCTTGTATACGTAGACATTTTGCAGCATTATGAACGGTGTTTCAGTAAATAACCGAATTATACCCTTGAAAATGTTGTACGCTGTTCTTTACGAGGCGGGAGAGCCACTTGCTTGAACACTGCATGCAATAGTTTCAACTTCTCTCCATGAACTGCAGCATGGCATGCAACGACGGGACGCAAAAGAACAACAAAAAGCAGCGATTTTCTAAATGGCAACTGAATTTGAACTACAATACGTTAGAAAACCTTCGGCCTCGTCCACATTACGCCGGAGGCATTTGAAAACAGAGGTTCCACTCTGAAAACGCATCACAAATGTTTTCCGTCCATACTACGCCGGAGGAATTTAAAAACGGAACAATCGCCAGTCATTTTGGATTTGTGTTTGAGGAAAACTCGGTCAGGGAAATCACGTGATTATCGTGACGCCATCGTTTTCGAAAAGTTCCGTTTTCAAACTGTTTTCCGTCCACACGAAAACGCAAAGCCGGCGTTTTCAAATTCCTCCGGTTTGAAGAGCATTTTCGTAAAGCTCCGTTTTCGTGACGTCTTAGTGTGGACGCTAGGCCTAACCGTAGAAATAAAGCTGCGTTTTTCAAATTTCTCCAGCGTAGTGTGCGTATTTTGCCAGACAAAGGATTTCACTTAGCACTGTGAGGCGAGGGTTTTCTGACGTATAGTTATTCAAATTCAGTGGGGCATATATGCAATTGGGTCATGCATCTTGACAGCGCTAGCTAGGCTCCGGCGATTTCCAGCCGCTTTTCGGTAAACGACCCCGTGGCTCCTCCACTGATTTGAACAGCAGCACGCAATACTGAGCGTATCTCTTCAAGTAATAATGTAGCATATATCTGGGCCTTCACGTATCTGCTCACTGAGTGATAAAGTGATACAGTTTCTACCAAATAAAAGAGAGTAGTTAGTTATTCAATGGTTTTGAGCTTCTCTTTTTTCTTGACACATGGTTAGCGTCTCTGACCTCGTAAAGACCTCGTAAACAGATACGTGACAGAGGTGAAATTGCAATAATCGTAACCTGTGGTGTCATTATTTTCCACCACAAAAGATCTTCATTCATCATTCTCTTCAGTTCTAAATGTGGCGCCTTCTCAATGTAAATAGTCACTTTCATCTTGTCCCGTCGTGTGAAGTTCTTAAGCATTTGAAATGATAAAAACCGATCCTTTCCCTAGTGGCAATCCTGTTTTGAGTCTGAATACAAGCTTCGCTATCTGTGAGTTCCTTTCTGATCTGGTTATGGCATTGCATGAAGCCTGTCTTTTAAACCCACTTCTGCTCAAAGAATATATTTCCGTTAGAATAGCAGATTGTCGGCAACTAGTCTTTTGACTTTTGCCTAACAACTGTTTTCTTTCTTTTTTTTTTTTGGAAAAAAGAACCAGTTTATTATTTAAAAGTCAGTGGTATACCGAGTGGTAACAAATTGTTAAGAGCGATATGATATCCTTACATGAGAAGATATCATGTTTGATAACATTTCTCTTTTGTCCCTTTAACTACAGTTAAATTTGTTGGTGTATGATTGAAACATATTCGGATCTTCGGTCGTCTTCGGCAATCTTCGGTGATCTTCGGGAAATGTTCGGGAAATGCTCGAAACGTTCGTCTGGCTTTCAGAACAATTTTGGAAAATCTTCGGAAATCTTCGGAAAGTGGTCGGAAATCTTCGGAAAATCGTCAAAAACGGCGTCGTCAGCATGTCTATGTAGTAATAAGAACATTACACGTTAGCTCGAAGATGTGAATTTTTATGTCCTCGTGGCAAAAACAATATCTCACGAGTGAGTGCAGTGAACGAGTGAGATATAGCTCTTGCCACTCGAACATAAAATTCATATCTTCTCGCCACCGTGTAATATCCTCTATATATGTGTTTGCATTGAGGCACTGTCAGGCGTATTTCCAATTGCCGACATGTTAACTTACCAAAGATGTTAAGATTAAGATTGAGCCAATGTTTAGGAAACAAGGCCACAACTGGGAAGGGTNTCCAATGAACTCTCTGAAATTTGTCCACCTACATGTTCATTGCATTTTGCAAACTATGATTATGATTATGATAGGTTCATAAAATAAACAAATTTAATCCCCAAAATTTCAAGAATCTAAGGACTAAACAAACAGACAGAGAATGTTGCCTCTTTGGTTGGGATAAAAGGGTTAAATGTAGGTTTCATGATTTCTTTGTTTGTTCCCTTGTACAGATGATATATTACATGTAATTTATAGAGCTCTTGTTCGGTGCAAATGAAATTAAACATAACCTACGTCAATTAAGACTTCATTGCCTTTTCCCCAAGAAAATAACAACATGCAAAAGTTGTCCAGCCTCACGGCCAAGGGCGCATTTAATACACTTCTCATGCTCAAAATAAAACGAAGGTTTTCAAAATCAGAAGGCCGCCGCCACGACTTTTTAAAATCAAACTCACAAAGCTTTTCTATAAATACTAACACTATGGGAAAGTACGTAAACTGATTCACAGAGTGAACGGTTTCCAACCTCAAACAACAGAACAGGGAAGAATTTCTTACCTAAAGGAGCAAAGAAAGTTCATCGAACAGCTCGACAGGCCGCCATTTTAACTCTCGCTCTCTTTGAACGCGCGCTTGATTTTTGGTTAGAAGCCGCTGATTAAAGTTTCGTCGTTTGCGGGTTTCCGCGGGTCAGCCAAGCGCCCTGGGTCAGCTGTTTCTGTGCGTGCTGTTATTTCCCGCTTGAATGTGCAAATGAAAATTAAGTGAACATAATGTGAACATTCTAAAAGGGTTCTCATAACGCTGTCAACTGTGAAAAGGGCTAGGGCTCGCACTCAGCTCCTGCGGCGCTTTAAGAAGAGGACTAAACGACTGATATGGGCCCAACCAATGTACCGATACACCTGTACACGTCACGTGACAAAACTCTGCGAGTATTCTACCTGTCTTTTTAAACTAGATTGAAACAACTCTTCAATCACTCCTTATTCGTTAGAAATACTCGCTTTTCTGTTGAATCTGTTATCGCCCACGCATTTGGACATAAGCTCGCGGGATGACAGCCGGGGGATGAGAGTAAAATTGGAGTAAAAATGGAGTCGGGATGCATGCGGGAAAAAAAAAACATATTTCGGTTACAGCGGAATTTACTCATTTTGACAGGCGGGATGCGGGATAGTTCTAGAATTGACGGCAGGATGTGGAATGAAAATAGAAATTCACACGTTACGAACGTTAATTACGCGGCTAACTGGAACTCTGACCAGATCCATACGGGATCGGGATGAACATTCTAATGTGGTGGGGCGGGATGGCGGCATTGAGCCCAAATTACCAGGAGCTGGTATCATGGAATGGCGTAGCCTGCGAACAAGCTCCTGGTGAGCCCCAACGAAGCATCCCGCCCCGACCGCTTCGCTCTCCGAATTCTTGTGTTTCGCGCTCGCAAATTTGTTTTCCGTCCTCGCCGGGAACCTGTTCGCAGGCTATGGTTTATACCGCTGTAGAACGAAAAGCACAAACCCTGAGTTCTACGGTTTTGAATACATGCGTGCGGTCATTACCGAATTACTTAATTGCCACCCGTGCGCCTTTGTGAGCGTGCGGTCATTACCGAATGTGACAAAACTTCAGCAGAACGTAATGGCTGGAGTCAATTGGTAACTGCACTTGCGCAGCCTTGCTCGCATGGCCTTATACACTAGGGAGATGGGTTGACTGGACAACTGATAAGGGTTTGGTGTCGTTTGGTCCGGCTGGGAGACTAGAAAGGCAGGTGGAAGGGCATCGAACACCGTCTAATCATGAGGAGAAGAGGAGAGGAGGTAATAGAAGAAGCAAGGACTGAAATCTTTACAAAATAAACAGGCTAATAAAAAACACCATGTTTTAAATGCTTCAAATGAACTTTAATGCCAGCGTAGAGAGATAAAATCCCTTGATCCACAAGCTACACGCGGAATGCAAGTCTACTCCCTCTGTAAATATGCTATGATATTTTTATGAATGCCAGTAAAAAGATATGGTTACATGAGCAACAGCGCAAAATGAAAATAAAAGAGGCGAGAAAAACAAAAAAAACCTTTAAAATGTAACAACGCATAAAATTTAACAACTACTAACAGAGAAAGCAAGAGTTGCAATATCTTGAATAAAAAAAGTGAAAACAATAAATGGTGGTAACTTTATTCTGCTCTAACTAAACGCATTCGCTATATTCGATTAATTGAGGTGCGTATGATATCCGAGGACGGTTTGTATTCGTCAGACCTGAAAATAAGAAAAGAATAAAAGTAAGAAATCACCCTGTAAATTACACGATACAAGTAGGTTTTTAGATAAAAACTGTAATATCCAATCATCAAGAGAGCGAAAGGAAGTTATTATCTCGCAGGCACGCCTTTAAGACACTTTTTTTTTTTTACCGTGTCTTCATTTTGGTGTTCTACGAACTCTTACGTCAATGGCGAAACTTTGCAATAAACAATAATTTCCGCAACATCGAGTTGCAAAAGAGTCAGTATCACATGGTCTCTTCTAAGTTCCCTCAGCTACAACACAAGAAGGAGCTACGCCAAGGTTTGCGCACCTTGTTAAAAGTTTAGCCTGTAGATTGTTCAAGTAAGTTGTTTGTAATCCGTGTTAATCTTCCCCATCTTTAACCATCCTTGTTTCTTCACGGTTTATTACTATCTCTTTAGTGTTTTTCTATCTTAGTAGACTATTATTTTCAGGTTTCCTTCAATTTAAAGGTAATTTTGTACGTAGCCTCAAAATACAGGGACTGAGCCCCTTTAAGCGCTCAATCTTTTCCCTGAATGGCATCTTATGATGAAACACAATAAAGTTTCACTTACGTTTGGTTTTCTAGCAAGAAACTGTCTTGCAGACGGTCTTTCCTTTTCCAACCTCATTACTGACACATGTGCACTGTTTGCACTTGTCGATGTCTTCCTCTACTTGTTTACGAATGGTCTCAAACACCCGCATTGTTTGCCAGATGTTGGCATCGGGTCTCGGGAACTCAAACGTCTTCAGGTTGATGGCGACTCCCCGTGTCTTGGCGATGACTTGAGCGTATTCGTCATATTCTGGAAGTTTGTCGGACCATTTGGTGACCTTGAACACTCCTTTCTTGCGGTATAAGTAATCGAAAGTGTCTACCGCAATCGCCTTTTTGAAGCTAGAGCAAACAGTGGGATAAAAGCAAATCAGACTATTTTGATCTAGGTGACATTAACAATTTGAAATAAAATTTGTTCCTTACTAATTAACGGATTGACTGATAATTTCATGGGCGATTTTTCTGTCCGCCTGTTTCGCGTTTCACTTGTTAAATGATGTCACGATTTGCGCATCTTGAAAAGTTTAGCCCAAATTTTTCAAGTTGGTCGTTTGTTATCCGTGTTAATCTTTTCCATCGTTAACCATCCTTGTTCCTTCATGGTTCATTATAATCTCTTTGCTGTTTTCCTATCTTTAGTTAGTAAACTACTATTTTCAGGTTTCCTTCAATGTAAAGGTAATTTTGGGAGACGCGGTGGCCCCATGGTTAGTGCGCTCGTCTCCGGATCGAGCGGTTCGGGTTCGAGCCCTGGCCGGGGACATTGTGTTGTG